AGACTCAGTTGGACTTAAATCAGAAGTGTCAGCCAGTAAGAAAGATAGAGAATGTTTGTAATATCATCATGATATCTAACAACTTCAACTCAGTAAAGATTGACAAAGACGACAGAAGATTTGTTGTCATTGACGTAAGCAGCAGATACAAAGGAAATTACGAATATTTCTCAAATCTCATTGAAAGCTTTAATGAAGAGTTTTATTCAAACTTACTGACGTACTTCATGAAGAAAGATTTAAGTGAATTTGATGTAAGGAAGATACCATTCACCAGGGCTAAACAAGAACTCATCGAAATGAACAAAACACCTTACCAAATGTTTTACGAGGAGTTCTATGAAAAGTTTGTATCCGGATGGAATTGTACAGAGTGCTACAGAAGATATAAAGAATTTGCGAAGGAGAATGAATTCTTTGCATGTAGTTCAAATGTATTTGGTGGCAAGATGAGAGAATTTGTGAAGAGAAGTAGAAAGCGAGACGGTTCTGCAAGAAGTTATATTTACGAAGCAAGTATGATATTAGAAGGTCGTGGAAAGAAAGAAACAGTGAATTATGAGGAAGTGCTTGAAAAATTCATGGAGTACATGGGAAGCAATATAACATACAACAAAGACATATACAGTGAGTTTAAGTACTACTGTGAACAGCATGAGATTGAAGTAATGAGTAAAGGAGACTTTGAAACGCTTATGAAAGACAGTAAGGAGGTCGTTCATGAGAACAGTGTTGAAATAGTTCATGAGAACAGTGAGGAGGTCATACATGAATGCAATGATGAAATAGTTCACGATGTCGTTCGTGAAGAAGTCATTGCAACAAAGAATGATATAAAGGATTTCATAGAACTTAACAAGGAGGAGTTTAAAGAAGGCTATGAAGTGAAAAGATGTGAAGAAGATTTCTTGGCGTATTTGAAGAAAAAGAGACTAAAGCCAATGGCTCAAAATAAGTTTCAATCGATGTTTGAAAAGAAACGTTTGAGCTATGGTGGTGTAAGAAGCACATATTACTTTGTTAAGAAGTGAGGACATTTATTTTTGTCGTTAGTGTTGGAGTTTGTGCTGAGGTTAGTACTTGTCGTTAGTGTTGGAGTTTGTGGTTGTTGTTAGTGAGAGAATAAATTAAATCATGAACTTTGCCATGGTCTCTGTCCCTAGTAGTTTTCATTAAGTTCTGGAAATAATGAAAGTCATAAACTTTGCCATGGTCTCTGTCCCTAGTAGTTTTCATTAAGTTCTGGAAATAATGAAAGTCATAAACTTTGCCATGGTCTCTGTCCCTAGTTCCTCAAAATCCTTGACAACGTTGCTTAGAAATTTTGGTTCAAAACCTCATCTGATTTTAATCTGTTATGCTACCTGTTAAGTTTCGCGAGATTATAAATGTCATGGAGTTATATAAAAAGGATGGACAGCTAGGGACACTGGAAGTACTTGTAAGGCTATCTGTTAAGATTGCATGAAATACTAAAAAGTCATGAAATTCATTATCGCTGTGCTAGCTTCACCTTTGATTGAAATGACGACTAAAGTCACTGAAGCAATGAAACAAAAGTTCTTGGTAGAATACATTAAATCAGGAGCGGTTCCAGAAGGTTTTTACGTTCATACTATGAAGGATGGTAGAGTTCAGTTTAGAAAGATAAAGCAACCATTAGATAAAGAAGGAATTTTGAGAAAGATTAAACTTCATGAGGACAACATTGCTGAACTTAAGAAGAAGCTAGAAGAGTTGGAGAAAGGAAGAGAGTTATAAAGCAATGAATTCAACAGGGTAGAAATGAGGTTAGAAAACGTGTTAGATCTAACATTCTAACATAAACATTATTTTTGTGCTATGTTTTCATACGTGTGAGGGTGGTGATATCATTAATTTTTAAGTTTATTTTTTATTTTATTTTTATATAAATGACGAAAACTATTGAGATAACAAACTACAACGGTCATGAGTTCAAGAATTTGTTCTTCGTTCCTCGTGAAAATACATTCTATCAGATACGAGGGAGAAAGGGTAAAGTTAGTTTGAGCGTTTATGACTACAAGCATAATGGAAAGTTTATACAAGCATATGATACAAACGGTAAGCGTGTTTCATTAGCTTTGTCAAAACTTACAGGTATAAACTATGACAGTGATTTTGACCTATATGAAGAAGAAAGTGAGTCAGAAGATTATGAGCTGTTATATGAAGCACAGCAATGGGAGGAGTTGCAATACTTTTGTAAGTGAGAACGTTTATTTTTTTTACATTAGTGAGGTGAAGTGGTTGGTGGCTTTGTAAATATTTAAGGTTAGGTTAGTGTTGTCGTTTGTGTTGTAAAATATACGTTAACGGTTTCGTAAAGTGTCAAATTCACATATCAGGGGTAAGGAGGCGCACAGTGCCGCCGTACCCTTGATATGTATACTAACTAATGAAACCACAATCACACAAAATTTTATAGGTTCCAATGGTTTCTTTTGATATTTTATCTAATAAATCAAAAACTTTATCAACACCTGTGCATTTATTTAAATAATAATTTGTGTAAATATCATGATCTTCTTTCTTAATCGTATTAGTTGCATATGTCACGTTTTTAAGAGCTTTTTTGAATTTTTCGGAATCTAAAGGTGGTGAAAGTAATATACAAGGGTATTCTTCATTATCAATAAATTGTAACTTATGTTTACGAATAAATTTAGTTCCTTCTTCTGAAAGTGTTTCGTCTATTTCACCATCTAATAAATTTTGTGTTGATTCTAAGACATAATTTTTATATCTTTCTTCATGAGATTTCTGAACTTCTGATTCTGAAGCTGGGATATTCATTAAACCCTCTACTTCATTTTCATTATATTTTTCAACTTCTCTTAATTCCTTAATTTTTTCATCTATTTCATCTCTTATTTTTTCCAGTCTTTCAATTTCATTATATTCATCATCTTTAATCCGTTCTTCATAATATTCAGAGAAAACATCAGGTTCTTTAGGTTTTTCTTTTTTAGATGTGGGATATAAGAAATTTATAACATCATCTTTATTCATTTTTCCATCATAATCAAATTCATTTAAAAACTCCGCGAATTTTTTACAATTTCTTAAATAATATCTTTCAACTTCATAACCCGCCTCCTCTAATATATCCTTTATTTCCTCATTTGTGAATCCTAAATTTTTAACATTGTTAGTTGTGACACTCATTTCATACAAAATAAAAAATAAATTATTCAAATAATCATTAGTTTTGAATTTATTTTTCTCGTTTATGAGGTCTTTGATTATGACTCCATTGATTCCATTCATGATTTAAACAATGTTTAATTAATCACGGAATATCTGACATCATCTATATATATATATAGCTTCTTTTATAAAAGATAAAATATATTTTTTTAATGTGTTTATTTCATTATGTATGGGCTGAGTGTAAATGTCTTACAATTTTGAAAATTTTTTAAATCTTGATTTATTCAAAAACGTAAGAATAAAAACCGTAAGAATCATACATTTTTTACTTCATATGTTAAAAAAAAAATGATACAAAATCGCTCGATATTGTATGAATTCTTACGTTTACAAAAAAAGTCACACAACCCGTCATATATACTACTAAATTCAAATTAATTTTCTTATTTGAGAATCTGAAACCATAATATGTTTATCAATCCAAAGCTTATGGCCAAATCAAATACATTTCAATCAGTCCATCCTAGTGTTAAATTTCTTTGGATTTTTTATCGTTTGAGGATATGTATGAGTTTCAAATAAAAAAGTGATTAACTTTCAAAATATCACACATACGGATGATTTCGAATGTCATATCATATTCGTCTACCAGAATTTAAATTAGCAGACTAATAATTTAGTTTTTAGCCAAGAAAAGGAGATTGGGACAAAGTTGCAATTCGGCACTTTTTGTAAAAAAAATGGGGTCATACTCATAATGAATAGAGACTTATAGCCAAGTCTTGATATCATGCAGGGAGAATATACATTGATAAGCAATTATATTTTATAGTAGTAGTATTCAGAAATTCTTACAATTTACAATACAATTTTCAAAAATGGATAAAGACTAATAGCCAAGTCTTGATATCATGCAGGGAGAATATACATAGATAAGCAATTATATTTTATAGTAGTAGTATTCAGAAATTCTTACAATTTACAATACAATTTTCAAAAATGGATAAAGACTAATAGCCAAGTCTTGATATCATGCAGGGAGAATATACATTGATAAGCAATTATATTTTATAGTAGTAGTATTCAGAAATTCTTACAATTTACAATACAATTTTCAAAAATGGATAAAGACTAATAGCCAAGTCTTGATATCATGCAGGGAGACTCTCTACAAATACAAAAATTGATTATCATAAGGAAATACAAATTTATCAATTTTCATGTGAAAATTACATAAATTTGTTCTCCAATAAATAGCAATAATACTTTGAATGTTATATTAAGTAATATAGCTTCAGGTAAATAAGCTTACACTTCAAAAATATACTGTTTATTCATTAATTTTAAAAAAAGTCCAAATTATCTAATCTTGCTTACTCTTCCTTTAAACTTCTTTGTGCCAAATTTAATATTGCCTTCAAAGATGGAATAAGGACATTAGGTTCAAAAATATTTTATTATACTCATTCGAAATTAAAAATAATAAAATTTATATATATTAATTTCATTAAATCAAGGTTAAAAATCTCACCGGAAAAATAACCTCAGTGTGATAAATTTATCACCGGAAAAATTTACAATAAGGTTAATACCGAAAATATCGAAAAATCAACATTTAAGGTTAATTTAAGAGTATGCACTTTTGTCACCTACTCCCAAGAAAAGTATGATACCTCACTTTGTATCTTACATTTATCTATGTTTTTCATGATTCAAATTTATAATACATAGTTGAGCTATTTTAAATCTAAATTACATCGTAAGTCATTTCATGAAATAAAAAAAGATAGTATAGATTAAAAAAATTCATTTTAAATACATAAAGATCATGATGAAGATGAAAATGAAGAAGAACTTGTTTTCAAGTGTTTCTTCTTTGACTTTTTGCTGTTTTTAGTTTTATGTTGATCTCTGAAACAACAACACAAACTTAAGAACAAAGCAAGTGCAATAACACCTAAAACTGTTAACGTAACAACAGTGATAATGAGTCCAGTCTTTGATTCAATTGGTTTCAAGCCAACAACCACATTTTTAGGTTCTACATTGAGCTTATCTGTCGCATGAAAAACATCTTCATAATTTTGGAACTTCTTTGAACTATACTCCATAGTGTTACAGAAATAAGTAGGATCTGGACACTTAAGTTTATAAGCAACTCCATTGATATCGAAAGTCATATTTTGGATGGAACCAAACTCAAATATAAATATGAATATATGAATACAGTAATATTAATGCGTTCCGCATCAAAAATACTTTCGTAATTTGATTTCTGCACATTTCATGAAAAATAAGACGTACTCCATACAGCCTATCATGTATATCAATACTATGCCTATTGTATCATATAAACCGTCATATTATCATGGAAATTCATAAATCAATAAATAATAACCTGTTAACTGGAATATTCTTTCTAACAATATTGAAGAAAACTTAAACTAATAAAAATAGCTAGTTGACACGTATAATTTACATGAATCTTAAAATCTCAACAATATAACCTGTAAAAATAGTATTTTTCTGATAATATTGATTGTAAATAAATGCATAAGATGACTTCTGCGAAATAGTTTTGACAAAATTTAATGAAATAATGCAGATTTTTCATTTTATCATGAAAGAATGCATTTTGTATCAAAACGATTTATGAAATAGTCATGTATTATAATGCTTGCAGTAAATCTTATCTCCCAAAGAAGGAAAAGCAATTGTGGTTGATTCGCTTGAATGAAAAATTGCGATATGACGTCACTTTTCATGTAAGAGGTTATTTAAAAAAATCAATTGCTTGATATACATGATGCCATTTGCGATGGACTTGTATGCATATTTAATAGCGGAAATGTAGTTTATTCGAAAAAACAAGTTAGTCACGGCAGATGGTATTTCGAAGTCCATCATAATGGTGGCAATTTCATGTTCACAGCAGGTTTCTCCATTCCTGGTAATTTCGAAGGTATATCCTACTTCCCGTACAAATACTATAATAACGGCTCAGGCGATGGCGTAATTTATTATCCAAAGTACATCAACTCATCCGAAATCGCCAAAGATGGTTCCATGAATACCACATCTTTTATAGAGAATCAAACATATGGTATTGGCATTGATATTGATTCAAATTTGTTTTTTGTTCAATCTGCAAAAGAAATCCGAAGATATCAGTTCAATGTCCTTACGAAGCCACCTTATAAATGGAATGCTTATGTAAGTGAAGCTATACCAAAAACTTATCCATATAAAGATAGTATTACTTTGAATTTTGGATTAAGTCCATTTGAGTTACCAATACCATATGGTTTTCAGCCATACAGTTCCAATTTTATTGATTATTGTAAAACTCTCAAATCTTGCATGAATTTACCAGTTTCTCATACATTTCTATACGTTATCATAACAATTTAAACATTTTTATGTACAGACAATAAAGAAATTTCTAAAAAATCAGAATTTAATTTTTAAATTTGAAAATAATTACCTCTTAGGGTTTCTTGCAAAGAACATTTATCTAAATTACGCACATAAGGTGATATTTTCTGGCTAATATACTAGAATTCTAGTTAAGTGAAAATCTTATGAAAATCGCAAGATTTTATTAACTCGGGGACGTTTCACAACTTTTTCTCACAAAAATACACCGACTTATCATATATCTCATCACAAAATACTTCAAAAATGAAAAAAATTAAATTAAAAATTGAAAAAATTCAGCGCAAAATTAAATTTTTAACAATTAAAAGTAATTATAAATCATAAGGATCTTTTTATTCGTTATCATTATTTTCATTGGCATCATTATCGGATAGTAGTATATGTGGAAGGGTTGTGTTGTTGCATGCTAAGTTCCGTCAACGATAGAAATTGAGTGGAAATTAATCGTCGAGGAAGTACGATTATGTAAAGTAAAAAAATGTTGTGGGATTTTTAATATTATATATTATTTTATAATAAAAATTTTTGAGTCCTTTTAAGAAGCACATATAATTTTTTGAATTTAAAAATTAAAGTAGTGTCAAACGAATTTATCACTTAATTTAATACTCAGATTTCTTAAAATTAATGAAAAAAGGTTTTCTGAGAACTTTTGAGAATGGTTTTCAAATTCCATTATTGAAAATATATAGGTATTGTATGAAATTCAAACTCTATATTTATTAAAATTCTAAATTTTTAATAAAATAACTTTTCAGAGGAATATGATTTTGAATGGTTGATTAATAAGTATAAAAATGTCTACGATTTTAAGGAGGGAATTGTTCCGTATGAGGTATACATCATAACTATATACCTCATAAGGAACAATTCCCTCTTGATAGCTGGGAAACTTTCTCTGAATAACTTATCATTTGGAGAAAGTTTCCCAGCTATCTATTAGAAACTAAAGGCTGTGAGGCACTAATATATAATCAGTGCCTCATAGCCTTTAGTTTCTTATTAAAAACGAGAAAACTTGTTCGAAATGATAAACAATTTCGAACAAGTTTTCTCGTTTTAAGGAGGGAATTGTTCCTTATGAGGCATACATCATAACTATATACCTCATAAGGAACAATTCCCTCTTGATATCCTGGATATTTTTGAATATATTTTTTTAATTAAAGTTCTCAAAAGTATTATCAAAAGTGATTTTTTAAAAATATCTCCAATTAATTAACTGATTAAAAGTATTATATTTTTAAAATTAAATAGTTTTTCAATTTTTTTGAAGGAATTGAGATACTTCCCACGACAATAAAATTGAGAGGTTTACATTATGACTGATCTTAGCATGCAACAGTGTGACTTTTTTTGTTACGTCTATATATAGATGAAGGTATATTTTCACATCTTCTATATATAGATGATATAAAATTTTTTCTTACGTTTTTTAAGTCATGAATTCGTAAGAAAGCGCGACATTATTAAATAAATTAGTAATAAATATTTATTTATAAACCATTAAAAAAATTAACATTAATTTTAAAATAATTTATTTTTTTATCTTTTATAAAAGAAGCTATATATAGATGATGTCAGATATTCCGCGATTAATTAAACATTGTTTAAATCCTGAATGGGTTAAACTTCAATTTAAAAATGAAGATTGTGAATTATTAAATGAATATGAAAGCCAAAATAAGCTAATGTGGTATAAATATAATGATAAAGAATATTTAATTTCATGGAATCAATGGAGTCATAATCAAAGACCTCATAAACGAGAAGAAGAAATTGAAAATAATGAAATGGAAATCATTGATGGCATTAAAGAGGATGGAATTCCTAAATTTTGTAGAAAAACCTTTAGAACTAAGTTAGGAGCATATAAACGTAGAGTATTAAATCCTGAATATCTTAAACATCAATTTAAAAAGGAAGACTGTGAATTATTAAACGCTAATGAATATGAAAATGCTAAATCAAAACTGAGATATAAATATATTGGAAGTGATGAAAGGTGTAAAGATAAAGATAAAGTTTATTCAGTTTCATATAATAACTGGCACACGTTAGGGATAAGAAAACATTTAGGAGATTATGGGAAATGTTCTGAATTCTTTAAATCTAGTATATACGAGAGAGTAAAAGAAATTAGAAATAATTATTTTCATGAATAAAAAATAAACTTTAAAAATTCATGTCTTACATTTTTGAATAATTTATTTTTTTAATTCGTAAGAAAATGAGTGGATCAAGATTCGTAACCGTCAATCAATTAATGGATGCTCTTTCACCAATTCTTGAAAATGTTAAACAAGTAGATGTTTATTTCGATGATTATGTAGAAAGTTTATATTATAAAGGTAAACATAATATTAAACCCATTGCTTTTGCATTTGATAATAAATTAATTGAAAATGCAAAAATTTGGGAATTAATTCCAGATATTGAATATATAACGAATATAACTAATAAATGGTTCAAACGAATTCCAACCACAAAAGTTCTTTGTAAATTAATGATCAAAACCGAGGCCAAAGAATTTCATGAATTTACATATCATCCAAATAAAGTTTCAGAACTAGAAAATGAAAAACTTCAGAAAAAATTAAACGATAGACTTTCAAATGATCGTATTGAAAAAATAAATAAACTAGCAGAAGTTGCATTTAATAATGAAATATTTGATGAATATAACCTTGAACTCAGTGATGGGCTTTAAGGACCCGGGCTCAACGAGTCATGATTTATGAAATCAATAATTTGATTTATTCGCTCTTCAATAATTTCTATTCTTTTTGTTAAATCATCTATTTTCATTAATGAGGTGATTCTTGATTGAGGAATAGATTTCAAACTAACCACCCCCTTTATTTTTGAAATTTTGAATCCATCAACTTTAAACATTTTATTCAATTTACATGTTGTCAATTCTTCAAATAATTTTTTATTATTAGCATAATAGTCATTAAATTCTTCAACAGATGAAAAAATTTTATTTCAGTAATTGGTTTAACAACGTTTATTTTTTGTTGAACATTTTCACTTTCATTTATTTCTTCCTCCTCTGTTTCATTTATTTTTAAAATCGGTTTCATTTATCATTAAATAAAAATTAGAATATAAGTGATGAAATATATTTTTTAATTAATATTAAATCAGAAATGGCGGCAGGATTCTTTAAAAAATTATGGGATGGAATTAAGAAAGCTGCGGGTTGGGTTCATAAAAAGATTATTAAACCCGTTGCAAACTTTTTGGCACCAGTAGCGAAAACGGCAGGAACTATCATAGGTGGAGTATTAGGTACTAAAGCAGGTAATCCAGCGATGGGAGCACAAGCAGGTAACGCAATTGGTGGAATTGCTGAAGGAATACTTAATAAAATAGGAGGTAAATAGTGGAAAAATAAATAAATATTATTTTTATCTTAGTATCGGTTGAAGTCTTTGATAAACTTTTTCTCCTTTATTTAATACTTCTCTTATTGGGGCAGCTTTTGGTGTTATTGATTCAGCAACGTCACTAATTGCTTCTTTATTCTTAAATATCCAATTTGCTCCTTTCTTCATTGTTTCCCAAACTTTATGCGCTCCTCTTTTTACTTTATCCCATAATTTTTTAAAGAATCCTGCAGCCATAGTTGATTATTTCATTAAAATTAAAAATTCATTTTCATCTTTTAATTTTGATTTTTTATTTATTAATAAATGACGACTAACTATTTGGTGCCAAACACTAAACCGATTAATGGAAATGTATTTCATTCATTCGAAAAGATAAATGAAATATTCGCAAAGAATGACGGTAGAAGATATTATAGAGAACTTGAAAGTTCATGCTATGACTCTGATGCTCCATATTTTGATGATAAACAAACTCATTTAAGAATTACAAATCCGGCTCATGATGTGAATCAATTAGGTGACACATATATTAAACGCAAAGTTAAAGCAACTCTAGTTTCAAATAAAGCTTTCACATGCGATGCCGCTTTTAAATGCATACGTTTATTCGTTGGTTACAAATCATCAAATCAAAGCTTTAAACAATTAGAAGTAGAAACTGAAAGAGGTGATGCCGGTTATCTTCAAATGGATTGCGCCCGTGAATCTTTCGCATTTGCAACATATAAACCAAAATCAGAAAGGAAAGTTAAAAAGTTTGTTCATTCGTTATATAATAATGTTCAAAAATATGATAACTCAGTATGTGGTAAATATATTGACCCTTCAGAAGTTTTCAAGAACGCAAATGAAGAAGTTGATGTCACTTTTGATATGATTATTCCGGTAAATGATTTGTTAGCATTTCAGGCGTTCGATGATTATCCTAAATCATTTGGTGATATCATTCTTAAATATTATGTTTTCAGGGATACTTTAGTATTTTGTCAGGTTGACCCGTTAAGAGTTGCTGATTTACAAAATTACGTTTATGAAAAGATAACTGATGAAAATTATGAAAAGATTATGAATCATGTTTATAAATATGATCGCAAATTCCAACAAATCGGACTTCCTGCCAAATTAATTACAAGCTTAGCCGCTACATCTGCTGACGCAACAGTTGATAACGTTATTATTTCATGCACAAAGATGGAAGTTTTAGAGGATAAATGCATTACACCAGGATACGGTTTAATTGAAGAATCAGTTAAAGCAATACCACGTTTATTCAGTAAGGAAGATCCATTCATGATTCCAGCTCAACATATTGACGTTCGTTCACTAAATGGAGGTTGCATCACTCCTGAAGGTATCAGCTCAGATTTCTCATACGCTCTTCATAATGTTACAGATGTTGTGTTAACATTTCCGAAGAATGCAATGCAAAGAACAGTTTTAGAAAATCCAATGCTTCGAGGTCTTCAGGTCACTATAGATTCCAGAAACTTCCCTGATCAAGCGATGACCACAGTGGGCGACATATTCTTTACACGTATGCTTCAAGCTTCTGATTTAGATGGAGTGAATGAATGCACAGAAGAATATGAGGACTCATTAACTAGACCACTGAATGATGATAATGGCACGCCATTAGCTAGAACATGGAAAGACCAAACTTCATTCTTATGCACTATTCCAGTTCAACGTGATGGAGCGGGTATATTCTTTGATGGATTAGAAACTTTCAATTCACAAGTTACAGTACAAGTGAAAGCTTATCCAATCATTCAGGGTGTAAATGACACTTACTGTTCAAAGGTGACAAATCCTCCTCAGGTTTGGTTTACTAGGACTACATATTGGACATGGACACCGGACGAAGGTTTGAAATATCATCCAACAGGTACACCACCACAGTATAGAAGTTCATATGATGAAATATTGATGAATAGAAATGTTTAAAATTATAAATTTATTTTTGATTAAATGGATTTAAATTCATCCACCCTTATGAAGAATTAGCGGGAGTATATAATACATACGTAGATGATATGATTAATGAAGCATTGAGTGATAATAGAAATGCTCTATCTAAGGAAAAATTAATGAAAATTCCATATTCTGAATGTTACTTAAATTCAATCACTGCAGCAATTGGTAAACAAAATAAAGGTAAAACATTAACGATATTAAAACAAATTATCATTATTGCTAACACTTCCCCCTATTCACATGTGTTAATTTATATCAACCGTTCAGGTTCACCTTCAGATGATACATTTGAATCTTTAAAGCATTTAATCAAAATTCCAATTATTTATTTATCACAAGAAGAAGCAGAAGATTATTTAAAAAACTTTTTAATGTATAAAGAATTATATAATACAATCAAGAAGCAAGGATTAGAGGATAAAATTATTGATAAACAACAGGATGAATTATTTGAAACACTTTCTATTTCAAATTTTGATAGAGAATTTTTGCATTCACTCATTTTTCTAGATGATGCCGTGAAATCAAAACTAATAACTAATGAGAAATCATATTTTAATCAATTATTAACTCAATGTCGACACATTCAGTGTTCATTCTTTATGGCTGTTCAATACTTCAAAGCATTAAGCACAAACATTAAATCAAATCTATCAACCCTTTTCATTTTCAGTGGGTTTAGTCGTCAACAGTTGAACGTTATGCTTTATCAAGTGAATTTACCAATGAGCATTAATGAACTTTACACACAATATCAGCAATTAGGTGAACATGGAAAAATAATAGTTGATTTAAATAAAGGAGGTGTTAAATTTGATTAACTTTTTATAATTAATTTTTATTTTTTATTTATGATTAAACATGACAGAAATAGCAAATCTTCTACAGGTTCCATTAAAACAAGGAACAAACAAAAAGGGTGCATATAATAGAACTATGAAAGTTCCTGATGGAATGAAAGAATTAGTTCATATTGTTGCTGGTCTTCAAAAAGATGTTAAACAAATGAGAAACGTTTTAACATTACCAGAAGCTCAAGCATATGCCAAACGTCATGGACCAAATTGGGAAGCACACGAAGCAGACATTACAGGTCCAAATGGAAAACCTGATGGTATAAATGAAGTTTTCGTTACTGATGGTCAAGGTAATATTAAAGTCATAAATGGTTATAAATTGACTATATCTGATTATCCTAAACGTAAAGCATATAATGAACGTTATCCTATGCAATTTGATGAAAATGGAAAGCTGTTAAACAATACATTGGAGAAGGTGAAAATGGTCCAATTAATTCATACCGTTATAATCCATATTCTTATTTCAATGAAGAATTAAATGCTATTGAAGAGGGACGGATGGATTACCACGATATTCTAACCAGTTTGATGGTCAATATGCAAATTTGAGACCTGAAATTCCAGCTAAGAAATTCTTTAAAGTTGCTTTATTCGATCCAGTGTTCAATGAACAGAAAGAAGCAATGAAAGCAGAATTTAAACCAATTCAAGTGGCAAGAATTTCTTCATCTTCACTTTCAGAAGCGTTCAAGGAATTGATAAAGAAACCACTTTATTCTCAACAAGGTTATAACTTTGATTTAATTAAAGAAAGTGATAGACGTAAATTAGAAAAATCAGATGGTTTTAAGAATGCATGTAATGAAATGATTAAAGATATTGTAAATGATAAAATAAGACTGGAAGAAACTCAAAGCATTATCAATAACATAATTGGTGCAGTTACAAAGAAAGTATAAGCAAACAAGGACGAACCTTGGGATATTACCGTAACAACTAAATAAAACTTTAAATATATTTTTCTTTTTTTTATTCAATTATAAATGAGAAGACGTTTCACAAGTCAAAAGAACACAAACGCAAAAGCAGAGATTACGGTTGGTTATAACGTAAATGATGATAAATCACGAATTATTCAAAATGTTAAAGTTAATGTTAGTCCTGAATTAACAAGGTCAGCAACTCAACCAAATTTATTAACTCGTGACTTACCAAAGAAAGAGGAGGAGCAAAACCATGAGAATGGAGACCCAATCATTTTATCTGAACCCGGTAAAGAACCTGTTGAAATTCCCACTTATCCAACATACCCCCCACCTCTTTCATCAAACATCGAGAACCCAGGAATCTACGATTCCAGTCGCAATGCGCCATATAAAATAGACATTAATTCTGAATTAATGAAAATTTACCGTGATATAATAACTGATAATTATGATTCAATAATAAATTTAATTGACCAATCCGGTTTAATTATTTTACCTTATGAATCATTAATTCACATTATCGCCATTCTTTGTGATGTTCAAGATTCAGACGTTAAGATTCAATTTTTCATAGATGATGAGGTTTCATGCTGCGGAACAGTTGCAAAAATAAATCCTATAAAGGATATTAGCACAATTAAGATATCAAAGAACGGAACAACAACTGAACTTCATTTAACATATAATGATATTTATAATAAAATAGTTGATGAATATAAAATATCACTTGAAAAATTCTTTGTTAAGGCTATTTAATATTCAAGCATTAACATTATTGAATAATAATCCTTTGAATCATAATCAATAATAATTGACCTTTCACCAGTTTCTATCGTTTGTTTTATTTCTTTTTGTTCCCACTATCTGGATCGGTCATTGTAATTGTTTTTGTTATAGTATCAGCTTTATCTTTAACTTCAATCTTTTTTCCATCGGGATATTTAAACCAAAATTCCAAAAATTCGATATTGTCAATCTGTTCATATTTTAATCTATCAATTACATTTTTAATACCATCTGAAAATCTTATGAAATGGTCATTATATGGTTTGATTGAACTAAATTTGAATGAAGTGAAATATAACCTGTTGATGAATATGACATTGACTCGTATTTTCTGAAAACACTAAAATTTATAACATGAATGAATTTCTTATTCGTTGAATTTATGAATTCTTGAGGTAATCTTATTTTAGTTTTATTTATCACTGGAAAATAACGCTTTACCATATTTTTAATCGTAATAAAAATGTCAATTATCAATATTATTTCGAATAATAACTGTGAATTAAATTTAACAGTTAGCGGAATTTATAATGTTACTCTCGTTTCTGTGAGTGGTAAATTTAATCCCATTCTTTTAGACCCTTCAGATTATATATCATTTATTAAAGATGACCTTGAAAAAACGTATGATATGTATATAAATAATGTGATAGCGAAATGGGATATTAACATGATTTTAAGTTATTTAAATGAATCATTTATCGTATGGTATGAAGAAAATTTTAAATCAAAACCCGATAAACTTTTTGAACTTGATGAAATAAATAACCTTATTAAATTCCCGCTGAAAATTAAATTTTCTACTCCTCATCTTCGTTCATTGTTGGGAATATTAAATTTTGAAAAAGATGTTGGGGATGTTTTGTATTCTGACACTGGTTCCAATTTCATTTTAATCAAATGTGATAAAGTTAATACCCCAATGAGATTTTCACATCAAACATTAGACCCTAACTCTTACCCATCAATACAAAACATTTTATCCATCAACTTAAACACATTTTCTTTATCATATCCGTTTCAATTATCCGGGAATTCATTTATTCTTCATTCAAAAGATTTATCAAATATTAAATTTAGAATAACTGACCTATTTGATTGTGATTTAGAATTCATGAATGAAATATTATGGCAATTTCAAATAGAAAAAATAGCTGATGAGATAACAGATTAAATATTTTTAAATCATAATAAATGATTAAACAACAGCAACCACAACAACTTAAGGCACAAAGCACCCAGGTCCCTCAGACCATTACATACGCCATATATGCATATAATTCAAAGACGGCAGAACAAACGCAAAGGTTGAAATATGGAGATTTGGAGATAGTATTGAAAAATGACCATTTCGAATTCGTTTGCAAGGGTGGTGCAGTGATATCAAATATAAAAGAAATTTTATTTATGAATTCAAAAATTAAAGGTATAACGGATGATATAACATCAATTCCACCAGAAGAACAAAGATATTACGCATTAAATGCATTTCCTAAAGTTTTGAAGATTGGAAGATTTAATTTAAATGAGGAATTCATAAAAGGTTTCCTAAATGACATAATGAAGAAAGCAGATAAGGAATATGTGGATGAAAAAGATAATGAAATTAAAGAAAAGGTTGAATGGTATCATGAATGGACATCAAAGATTTTTAAAACTAAAGCTGATACAGGATGGGTTTCAGGATGTTTAGACTTTAAAGCGGATAAAACTTATGTTAACGATGAGTTAGAGAAGAAAGCGGATAAGGAATATGTTAACGATGAGTTAGAGAAGAAGGTGGATAAGGAATATGTTAACGAAATATACCAAAGTTTGATAGGAACAACGAAAAATATTGAAACTATTGTTGGTGACTTTTCTGTCAATGAAGAAAATAAATATTTTAGATGGCAGTTTGTACAGTCCTTAAAAATGGTACACGGTGTAAACTCATTCCGAAAAATAACAATGAAATGTATGTAGGCTATATAAAGAATAATGGCACACAAGTTAAAGTTCCATTAGACAACAACTGTTACTTAAACTTATATGGAGACGAACAAAAGAAATATTTAAGAGTTTATGAAATGGCAGATATGACATTGCCTGACCCAGCTCCAGCACCATATTATTATGACTATGGAGATGATGTCAGAACACCACATGTAGATGAACAAAAGTTAACATTATATTTAGATTATTATAGATATAAAAGATATAATGCAATAGAAAAAACGAGAATAGTATATTATTATACAGATGACAGAAATAAATATTATAGTCAAGATTTTACCTACCCTGAAAACATAAGATTATATTATAAAAAATATTCTGACACAAACCAGAAGAAACCTGAAATAGTTACACTATATTTTAAGTTCAAAAGAGACAATCCTATAATATCTCATATGTTTGATTTAATGAACCCAGTAGGTTCTATTTATACATCTATGGAAGCAAGAGGTCCTCAAGTAATGTTTGGTGTTGGTGCATGGGAACAAATAGTTGACAGGTTTTTGTATTGTGCAAACTCTTCAAAGGAAACAGGGGGAAGTAAAACGATTTCAGGTGAAAATTTACCTGCACACAGTCACTACATAGATTTAAGTACCTCTCAAGCGGGTTGGCATAAGCATAGATATTGGGATTGGTCAGGAATGACAAAAGGTCGAGGATATGATGTTAATGATGATGTTAAGTTTGCTATAAATTGTTACTGGGATGACACTCAGGGAGAAGGAAACCATACACATTTCGTTTCAGGATATACACAAACAACGGGACAAAGTAAAGAATACATGCCACCTTACATGACAGTTTACGCATGGTATAGAGTTCAATGAATGAACTAAATATATTTTATGTCTGTAATTAATTAGGTAATGAAGTAATGGATGAACTGCAGAAATAAATGTTTACGTTAATGTTTACGTTAAGTGACTGAAAGAGTCCGGAGACAAAGTCTCATGTTTTAGGTTATTCAATAATTAATTATTTTTGAAGAACTGAAGGTGTCACCACGTCACCATGTCACCAGGTTAATTATCTTCTCTGAAAAAATGAGACAACATGACATTTTGACAACATCACAGGAGGAAGGCAGTTATGAATTATTTTTGAAGAACTGAAGGTGTCACCACGTCACCATGTCACCAGGTTAATTATCTTCTCTGAAAAAATGAGACAACATGACATTTTGACAACATCACAGGAGGAAGGCAGTTATGAATTATTTTTGAAGAACTGAAGGTGTCACCACGTCACCATGTCACCAGGTTAATTATCTTCTCTGAAAAAATGAGACAACATGACATTTTGACAACATCACAGGAGGAAGGCAGTTATGAATTATTTTTGAAGAACTGAAGGTGTCACCACGTCACCATGTCACCAGGTTAATTATCTTCTCTGAAAAAATGAGACAACATGACATTTTGACAACATCACAGGAGGAAGGCAGTTATGAATTATTTTTGAAGAACTGAAGGTGTCACCACGTCACCATGTCACCAGGTTAATTATCTTCTCTGAAAAAATGAGACAACATGACATTTTGACAACATCACAGGAGGAAGGCAGTTATGAATTATTTTTGAAGAACTGAAGGTGTCACCACGTCACCATGTCACCAGGTTAATTATCTTCTCTGAAAAAATGAGACAACATGACATTTTGACAACATCACAGGAGGAAGGCAGTTATGAATTATTTTTGAAGAACTGAAGGTGTCACCATGTCACCAGGTTAATTATCTTCTCTGAAAAAATGAGACAACATGACATTTTGACAACATCACAGGAGGAAGGCAGTTATGAATTATTTTTGAAGAACTGAAGGTGTCACCACGTCACCATGTCACCAGGTTAATTATCTTCTCTGAAAAAATGAGACAACATGACATTTTGACAACATCACAGGAGGAAGGCAGTTATGAATTATTTTTGAAGAACTGAAGGTGTCACCACGTCACCATGTCACCAGGTTAATTAACTTCTCTGAAAAAATGAGACAACATGACATTTTGACAACATCACAGGAGGAAGGCAAAAATAAATTCCAAACATACTTTATACTGCCTCATTTACAGGTATTTCATCGTCAGTAAATGAATCCTCATTATCGTTTGGTTCAACCTGTTTATATAATCCTTTCATTTCTTCTTGCAAAACATAACACCATGTTTGTTTACCATCTATTCTTCTCTGTTTCCTATCACATTTATCCTTAATGCTCATTTGGAAATTCTTGTCTTTCATGTCTGATGGTTTGCAGAATAAAGCATTTTCACACGTCATACCTGCACACAATTCATCATAATGTGTATTTATCCATACATCTAAAGGATTTGATGATAATTCAATTAAATCTTGTTTGGCTTCAGTCATCGGTATGATTCGTACATTAAATGATGAAAGGTCGTAATTGATAAAATATGTTAAAAGGTTATCATAAAATTCCTTTGTGCATGAATCCATCAAATTCTTGAAATAATCAAATTGACCCTTGAATTTACCATTAACTCTTAAAACTACGTATCTTCTGTCTCCAACTTCAATTTTGACAGGGTAAACGTTATTAGTTACGAAAATGAAGTTTGCAACATTCTGAGCAGTTCTTCTGGGTTGATTCTTTTCATTAATTCTAATCTCATTATCCGTTATAATTGATTTCAAAGCGTTGAAGTTTGCGAGTCTGTCTTCACCTACATTCTTGAGTTCATTAAGTACAAGAAACATTTTATTCTCAACTACTGAGTTGAAATTACCCGTTAGCTCACTTATTTCAGTAATGTTTTTACATGAATAACCAGCGAGAAGTTCAGAAATAATGTCTGTGAATCTGTTTTTACCTGTTCCCTGAAGTCCTTTCAAAATAATTGCTGTTTCATTCTTGATTCCAGGATGTTGAATCATTGATGCAATCCAGCCGAGAAGGTATTTATACACTTCATCGTTATTATCACAATGGCTTCTTTAATGAAATCCATAAACATCTCAATTTTTGAGTAATCAAGCTTTTCAAGAATGTTGTATTTATAACCCTGAAACGTTGAGAAACATCTGGGGAATCAGATTTAAAGCAAACACCCTTAACGGTTAATGAAGACAATTGATTTAATAGTACGTCCCATGCTGTTATGGTTTTACCTTCTTCTTTAAATAATTTAATCATTTTGAGTGACTCTTTCATGTTTGATTGAAGAACGAATGATATTTGATTCATTTTGTCGTGGATATTATAGTCCTTTTGAATGAAATATTTGTTTCCACAATCTACAAAACGGATTACACGTGATAAATCCTCAATTACTTCAGAACTGTTTTTATACTGATGATTTTCAGCCCTGCGTCTAATATCTGTTATCAAAAACGAGTCATCAAGTTTGATATCAAATGTTATTTTTGGCTTACGTAATAAAGGTAAAACATATTCATCATAATATTCCTTTTGATAAAGTTTTAGAATCTTCACCAAAACAAATGGAGAAGTCATTAAATGTGCATATCTACTACATGCTTTTTCAAAATTACTTTTTGCATTTTCAGTTAAATTGCAGAAATTATAAACGTTATCGTATGCTTCATTAATTAAATGATTAGGTAACGAATTAATTGCTTGAAACAGTGTGAATAATGTAACTTCTTTTTCTAAATTCATGTTTCCACCATCATTATGTACTTCAAAATCACTAATGCCATCAACTATGCTCTGGGCAAGTTTATCGTCAATGTTTACATCTTTGTTTTCATTCATGATAGTCTTTATTTCTTCGTTCTTCTGTTCAACTCTTACCTTAATATTCAAATCATTTAATATATCATTCACTGTTCTAGTTTGATCCGGCGATTTTTTGTCAATTTTTATGATGGGCGCCTTTTTGTTCATGAAGTGATACATCCTAACATGATACGTTACAGTGGAATAGCTAGGAGCATCCATACCGAAGCATTTTACCAATGTCTCGTAGACTTTTTTACAGTCTTTGCATTTTTTTGCAAGAGCGAGGATGTTTTCTTTATGATTCATTAAAAAAATGAAAAAAATCCCGCCAAAATTTCCCGCGAAACCGCCTCTTGTCTCAAAATTTATTTTATATCCCGGCATGGCGCCAAAATACAACATACTCATCATATACATATATTCATATTTTTTATTATATATTTATAATCAGCATATATCTCCTTTAATAGTCTCATATAGAGCGCTGTGCTAAACGCACCTTTGGACACCCTATAATTTTAAAACTAACTTTATTTTTGGACTGCATCATATTTCCAGGATTGTTGTCAAAATGTCATGTTGTCTCATTTTTTCAGAGAAGTTAATTAACCTGGTGACATGGTGACGTGGTGACACCTTCAGTTCTTCAAAAATAATTCATAACTGCCTTCCTCCTGTGATGTTGTCAAAATGTCATGTTGTCTCATTTTTTCAGAGAAGTTAATTAACCTGGTGACATGGTGACGTGGTGACACCTTCAGTTCTTCAAAAATAATTCATAACTACCTTCCTCCTGTGATGTTGTCAAAATGTCATGTTGTCTCATTTTTTTCAGAGAAGATAATTAACCTGGTGACATGGTGACGTGGTGACACCTTCAGTTCTTCAAAAATAATTCATAACTGCCTTCCTCCTGTGATGTTGTCAAAATGTCATGTTGTCTCATTTTTTCAGAGAAGATAATTAACCTGGTGACATGGTGACGTGGTGACACCTTCAGTTCTTCAAAAATAATTCATAACTGCCTTCCTCCTGTGATGTTGTCAAAATGTCATGTTGTCTCATTTTTTCAGAGAAGATAATTAACCTGGTGACATGGTGACGTGGTGACACCTTCAGTTCTTCAAAAATAATTCATAACTGCCTTCCTCCTGTGATGTTGTCAAAATGTCATGTTGTCTCATTTTTTCAGAGAAGATAATTAACCTGGTGACATGGTGACGTGGTGACACCTTCAGTTCTTCAAAAATAATTCATAACTGCCTTCCTCCTGTGATGTTGTCAAAATGTCATGTTGTCTCATTTTTTCAGAGAAGATAATTAACCTGGTGACATGGTGACACCTTCAGTTCTTCAAAAATAATTCATAACTGCCTTCCTCCTGTGATGTTGTCAAAATGTCATGTTGTCTCATTTTTTCAGAGAAGATAATTAACCTGGTGACATGGTGACGTGGTGACACCTTCAGTTCTTCAAAAATAATTCATAACTGCCTTCCTCCTGTGATGTTGTCAAAATGTCATGTTGTCTCATTTTTTCAGAGAAGATAATTAACCTGGTGACATGGTGACGTGGTGACACCTTCAGTTCTTCAAAAATAATTAATTATTGAATAACCTAAAACCATTAACGATAAAATAAGTGATAACAAATTTTTATTTTTATCATAAATGGATACCCCACAAGCTCAAAATTTACCACGAATCATAACAAGGGAGGAAACGATAAAAATGATGCGAGAACTTGCTAAAAATAACAAACCACTAAAACTGAGAAAATGTGGTTATGCAGTAATGATGGAAAGAGAGACGTTGTCGAAGAGGAATAAAAATTAAATTTGGATTGAGTTTAAAAATTCATCTTTATTAAATTCATCTCTTCCAATCAATTTATTTATTCTATTAAATTCTTTTATTTTTGCTTCACTCAGTTTAAGGATTGAACGGTAAGTTTCTAATTTTTCGATTATTTCTTTCCTCTCTTTATCGTTTTCAACCCCACCGCATTGCGGCTTCTTTTTGTAATAGCATATTTTTGATTTAATTCTGTTTAGTTTCTTTTTATATTCATCGTCTGGACTCTTGACTGCTTTGTTGTCACTCATTTCTTACGAAATAAAAAAAATTAAATATTATTTAAATATAATGGAGTAATAAAATAAATCGGAATTTCTATTAATTTATTGTCAACTTCAACTAATACATTACCGTTAATATATCTAACAAATTCAGCTATTGTGTCAAATCTTCGTCTTCTTTTTGTCATTGATTTATCGGTTTTTCCATAATCGAGATGAATTAAAACTTTATTTCCTTGTTTAAAATTCATGAGCCCCGAATTAATTTGTTCACGTTTAACATCATTCAACCTTTCCATTTGCTTTCTAATATATTCCCATTCTTTTGAAATATCATTTTTCATTTCCACCGGTTTCATGTTTATTGTTCTATGCCATGTATTATTATAATAATATACTAACTGTTGTATGATGGAGTCATGATTTCCATCCCAGTATATCTGACCGTTAACCCCTAACGCATCTCTAAGAGTTCTCATTACCGCATCAACTATTTTATTATGAAACGTATATGGAGAGGATGAAAAGAAAAAATTAATTTGTGGGAAATAATGAGCCATTGCTGCCTGAAATCCTTTATCACCATCACCCCTGATATTATCTACTCTTTCATGATCTAGTAAGTATTGTATAGCTCTTCTTGTTTCCTGTTCTGTTTTCCCTTTCACTGGAATGCAATATAAATATCTAGTGTTAATGTTAATGGCAAATAAATAAGTAACGTTTCCTTTTGAAGATTCCAGATGATCGATTTCGTATGAATATGGATATGGAGCAAATGAAGGGCGACTAAATTTTTCCTTTAATGGTTGAATTTTTGGGTCAATTGGTTTATTTAATATCTTGAAATCCTTTTTAAAATCTTTTTGCTTCTTTAATGTTTGAAATGGATATAATAAAGTGAATGATGAAGGATTAACTGAAGGAGGAGGAGGTACTGTCGTTGGAGGTTTTGGTGTTGCAAGTGGTTTAATTTTATCTGCTTTGATTTTGGATTTCATTCCTTCCTTCATTAATTCTGGATGTATTCTATTCATTTGTTTTAAATATGCTGTATATAAAGGTTTGATATACTTTCCCGCTTCGAGTTTATGTTGAAGGATGAATTCCAAAAGTTGATCTTCATTTAAAAGTCGGGCTGAATATGGTTTAACTAATGAATCATAAATTAAAGCTTGTGCATCATTTATGGTCTGAAGAACCTGGGCGTTTTGCACCATTTGTTTTTGTTTCTTTGGTTTTTGCGGCTCAGGATTATATAATTTATATAATTCATCAATATCTTCTTCTGTTAATACTTTATTTTTGAAATCTTTCAACTGTTTAAGTTGTGATTTAGTTTTTCCCTTTGAATATTCATTATTTTTAATTTTGTCTTTAATTTCAGAAATTATTTTATCATGATATTTCAAAATTTCATTTTTATAATATGGATAATAATAATCCATATCATCGCCCGTTATATTGTTATCATATTTTTGGAGATATGCTTTTAAATCATAATAATCAAGAAAATTTTGATTAAATATTAAATCATCAATTAAATTTTTTAAATGTACGTTATCCATTTATATAAAAATAAAATAAGTGTTTTAAGGGTGCCCACCTCTTTGATCAAGAATCAAAACCATTATTAACGGTTCCTTTTGTCTCTTCTGTGGCATTTCATTAAAAATAAAATTTTAAATTGTATTAAATAAATGGCATACAACATCCATTTTCACCACATACAGCCTTAGTGTGTGCTCCTGTTAATGCAGTCTTACCGATTGTTAAGCGAGTCATTAACCTGTTTTTAAGTTGTAAATTAATATTCTGACCATCAAATATCACTTTATCATTTATTATATCCAAATAATTTTTAGGTGTTAATTGTTTATTTTGTCGTAAACTAACACCTTTCATTTTTTGTGCAATCTTTTTAAAATCACTTCCATCAATTGAACCGTTGAATGATGTATAACACTTAGGACATAAAGCAACCATGTTATCACCTTGTTTCTCAATTGCTAAACCCAATAACTTCTTCTCATGTGCTTTTTCTTCAGCTTTATTCTTTAATTTAGGTTTAAATTTCTCATCAAAACAGAAGAAATCAAAAGGTGCGAATTTGAAAATGTTTTTATCATAAAATTGTTTATCGGTTACAATTGCTTGAAATGCTTGAGTGTTAGGAAGATTTGGGTCGCCAGCAATTGCCCAATAAGATGAATCAGTATCACCTTCAATGAAATGAAAACGATTAACATCCATGCATTTATACATAAAATCATAAATGAAAACCAAATACCAGTATTTTGCGTTATCTAAAGTGAAGAATGCCTCTTGTAAACATGTTTCACATCTATAAAATCTATCTTTAAGCATCACTTGATATGTATCCTCTCCTATTTCTCTTATGTTTTTAAACTTATTTGACATACATGCAACGCGTGCCTTCTGTGCATTCATTATTTTAGTCTTTGCGTAATTTTGTGTATTCATTGCATCGTAACCATATGATCCATTAAGTGAAATCTTGCAAAATAAACTTTTTCCTTTATTTCCTTCTAATTCAGCCTTTTGTCTTTCGTTCATAAATTTGTTCGCAAATTCATTAAAACAAGTGTTTTTAGTAAATGTTAAAATTGATTGAATGTCATCAATGATAAAATGAAATCTGTCTATTAGATACCATAGATAATAAGAAGAAAATGGTTGATATTGGTTGTATGTTGATGCTAACTGAGTTAATTTCCTCTGTTTCTGGTCAACCGGTAGATTGTTTGATTTCATGTAATTATACATAAAACTGCCAATTGTTTTTTCATCTGTGATAATATCTAAGTTTCTTATTATCGGTAAAAAGTTTATGTAATCATTAATGTATTTTTCATCAATGTGACCCTTTACTTCAGCCACGAATAAAGTATTTTTCTTTCTAATAATTCCCAGTGCTTTTGCTTTCTTTGTTGCTGTATCACAAATGATAACACCATTCAATCTTCCCGGCATATACATTTTATGGTCAGTATATTGAATGAAATCATGAGGATTAGATGAAAATGATGAAGGATATAATGAATTAAAGTCAACTCCAACGAAATGAGTCATAATGTTGGTGGTGTCCTCATTTAATACAGTTTTAGTTTCTGGATTATATGAAAGTTTATTAATGTGCGTGATTCCTTTAAGATTAACACGATGTTGAACATTTGATAGACCACCAGTAATTCCATTACGGAGAATGTGATAAGCTTCAACTGAATCTAAAGTCATTGGTAAATTATTTTTTAATGCATAATTTCTTAAATTGATTCTTAAACGTTGAACATCTTCATCTTTATTTGATTTTACGACATTGCAATAACAACACATTAACTGACAATTTTCTTTGGTATGTGGTTTTTCATTATCGATTCTATCCAATGTTGGTTTATTTGCATATGTAAACGCTTTACCACACATTTTGCATTTAGATGAAAGGATTAAATCGTGATAGTATTGAAAATCATCCATTGAAACATTATTTTTAGTATCTCTTTTCGCCTTTTCATCTTGTTTCTTATATGATTCAATTTTATATTTCCAATACTTTTTCGTTAATTCAAAACTTGATTCTATCTCTTCCTCAGGATATTTTTCATTAGGATTAAAGTCTTTATATGCTAAAGCGTAACGAATCATTGAAGCATTCGATGATAAAGAAAGATTATGAAGCATGTCAATTTTATAAACAAATGTTTCTTCAATAATTTTATCAATTGGGTCAATCATAATTTCAACATCTTTATTGCAATAATGAATAAAATATTCTAATCTATTCTTAAAATTTTTAGCATCATTGAGATATATTTGATAATCACTATCTGATATAGTTTCTTGGGTTAATGCTGAATAAAATGAATCTTTCGTGAATGGTTCCTCTTTATATAATTCTTCTTCGTAATTTTCCCATGTGATGAATTGATAAGGGAAAAAGGATTTAACACGTGTTTTATTATTTCCGAAATCTTGAGTGAATTGGTCTAATGTCCCACCCACTATATAATTTCTGATGTCAATAAATCTCAATTCATATGGAACGTTTGTTTTCTTTACAATGATTTGCTTAAATTGTGAAGATGAACCCAGCATTGATTTTATTTTCCATTTTGCAGTGTTTAAATCACGAAGAATTAAATTTAAATCAAACTTTCCCGAATTAAAACCTATGATATTCACTTTATTGAATTCCTCATCTAGAAGTTCTTTAAATGCTTCCTTCTGTTTTTCATTTAATGTATTCATTAATTCTTCATATTGTTCAATATTTGATTTAGCAACTAATGAACAGGTTGAAAATAAAAATTCAATCCAATCAGAGATGAACGAATCACTTGATGTTAAGCAAAAATTCCTCGTAAATGTTTTATCACGGTCTACGACCTCGCCGCTTTGCGGCTTTATTTTGACAGTTGATGATACCATAAATGGTTTTAAGTAAGCGTTCAAAGTTGCACATTCAGAAAGTTGAAGTTCTTCTTTAGTCTCTAATGTTTCGAAGTCAAAAGTAATATAATATCTTGTTGGTTTATAATATTCCTGCAAATTATGTGCTAATAACCACTGATATATCTTCTGTTTCGTGATATGTGGTGTATATGGTTGTTGTGTGTTTTGCAATTGAACGTCTTGAATTAATCTTCCATTATTTTCTTTACATTTCTCACAATGTTTTAAAAATCTTCTTTGGTTTTTCCTTTCTGGATCATCACGGATAGAATATACTTCTTCTTTGCAAAAGGGGCAAACTTTATATCCTGTGAGTGCTTCAACGTCTGTAATTCTGTCAGCGTGAAGTTTTCCACATGGACTCTGTGTTAATAAAATATTTACTGTTTCAAATTCTGGATCTATCATTATTGATTCCACTAATGGAAAGTCTACCTTGTTAATGTCTACGTCTTCTGGTTGAGGGTCACAATAATAAAAATCAATATTAACGTTTAACATTCTTGCTAACCTCTCACTTTCTGATGAAATGTCAAATCCTTCATATGCATCTATGGCTTCATTTAAATAACTTCTACGAGTTTTAGGATTAACACCATCAGGAATGTTATAGAAGCGTTTAAATAACCTTCTACCTTCGGCTCTTATTTGATTATCATTCATTTTAGCTGTTCCATTTTTGTTCATTTATGTAAGAATAAAAATTAAAAAATATAAATAAAAATAAAGTTTATTTTTTTTAAAGTCCGAGACTCAGAGAGTTCAGGGCTAAAGTCCATAAAATGAATTAAGAACACATAAATTTTTATCATCTGCGACGTGACGAATACATTTTAATTTACTCAAGAATGCGTACCCTGATACATTAAATCTAATTCCTGTCTTATTTAATTTCACAACTTTGAAAAGGAATGTATGAATAGCTATAAAATGATGAGATGATGTTTTATGGGTTGCTTCCATTTTTTCTGAAATAAATGAATAAATATAATGCTTATACGTTTTCATATCTTTTATGTTCTTAATAACGAATGGTATAGACCTTTCAACTTCGTCTTCCTTCGGTGCTGTTCTTTCATATGAAACATTATTGGTATCTTCAATAATGAAACCACAATCACACAAAATTTTATAGGTTCCAATGGTTTCTTTTGATATTTTATCTAATAAATCAAAAACTTTATCAACACCTGTGCATTTATTTAAATAATAATTTGTGTAAATATCATGATCTTCTTTCTTAATCGTATTAGTTGCATATGTCACGTTTTTAAGAGCTTTTTTGAATTTTTCGGAATCTAAAGGTGGTGAAAGTAGGATACAGGGGTATTCTTCATTATCAATAAATTGTAACTTATGTTTACGAATAAATTTAGTACCTTCTTCTGAAAGTGTTTCGTCAATATCACCATCTAATAAATTTTTAGTAGATTCCAAAAAGTAATTTTTATATCTTTCCTCATGTGATTTTTGAACTTCTGATTCTGAAGCTGGGATATTCATTAAACCCTCTACTTCATTCTCAACATTTCTCAATTCACTAATTCTTTCATCTATTTCATTTCTTAATTGTTCCAATTTCTCAATCTCATCGTTATAATATTCATCATCTTTAATTCGTTCTTCATAATATTCAGGGAAAACATCAGGTTCTTTAGGTTTTTCTTCTTTTTTAGATGTGGGATATAAGAAATTTATAACATCATCTTTATTCATTTTTCCATCATAATCAAACTCATTTAAAAACTCCGCGAATTTTTGACAATTTCTTAAATAATATTTATCAACCTCATAACCCGCCTCCTCTAATATATCCTTTATTTCCCTGTTTGTGAATCCTAATTTTTTAACGTTGTTAGTCTTGACACTCATTTCATACAAAATAAAAAAATAAAATAATAAACATAACTAAGTTTTAATTTTTCGTAAGAAGTTTAACCCATTCAGGATTTAAACAATGTTTAATTAATCGCGGAATATCTGACATCATCTATATATAGCTTCTTTTATAAAAGATAAAAAAATAAATTATTTTAAAATTAATGTTAATTTTTTTAATGGTTTATAAATAAATATTTATTACTAATTTATTTAATAATGTCGCGCTTTCTTACGAATTCATGACTTAAAAAACGTAAGAAAAAATTTTATATCATCTATATATAGAAGATGTGAAAATATACCTTCATCTATATATAGACGTAACAAAAAAAGTCACACAACCCTTCCACATATACTACTTCGGATTGATGTTGGTCGTTTTGTTCAGGAGCTTCAACTTGTTCTGTATCATGATTTTCTGCATCATTGGATACTTTTTGTGGCTCTGGCTGAGCTTCTTCAGGAGCATTTTGTTCAGATTGTGTCTGAGGTGGTTCATAAGGGGTTTGAACAGGTTGGTTTGCATCGTATGAGTTTGGCTGTGGTTGTTGTTGTTCGTAAGGGCTTTGTGCAGGCTGAGCATATTGATATTGGTATTGATCTTGAGAGGTTGAGGAGGAGCAACATAAGAAATTTGTTGTGAAGTATTGTTTTGTTGGTATGGAGTAGGATCATAACGAACTTCTTGTTGTTGTTGTTGTTGATTGTAGGATAAGCCCGAAAATATCGCTTGAGTTTGTTCTATGAATTGTGCTTCAATATCCTTTGGTGTGCTCTGCTTCTTCTTCTGTTCATCACTTGATTCATAACTGTAATCACCATCTTCTACTCTTCTCCATACAGGGGCTTCGTTAACATATCCCGCAAACTCGCGATTACAACATTGATTTCCTATTTTAACTTGTTCAGGTGTATCTGCTGTGATAACGTTGATAATAACATATGCGAAAATAAATATCGAGAAAGCAACAAACAATGCGAGTAAAACCAATGCGAATATCAATAAAATATACACGGCACCTTCGCCGCAATCACCGCCACCGCAATCGCAATTGCATCCATCGCAACAACAACAACAGCAATCCAAATCGCCGCAACCTCCAACTGGGACTACATCTCCGCCACCACCACCACCACCACATCAGCATCCACATGGACAGCATTTCCTCATACAACAACCTAATGTACAACCAGCGCAGCAGAAATATGTGGCCGTTTCTTCACCATATTTAAAGTAGAACTTAAGGTGAGAGTTTTTCTCACCGCGGCCGTGTTATTGAAATGTGCTGAATTTCCACTCGTACAGCAGCAGAAATTGCAGCATTTTTTGCATGAATTATTACAATTGCTTCTAGCTATTGGTGCATCGCAGCAGCCGTATTCTCTGGCTGGAACTCCGTAATTATTCTCGCAACAACAATAATATCTGTCATTAGTGCAACATAAACAATTGAAACAGCATACATCGCATGGTGTTGTTTCTACTGTTTCGTGTTTTCGCCTGTATTGATGATGTTTGCAACAGCAGCATAATGTTCGAGAAACTGCTGATAAAAAATGCATAAACCAGTTACCCTTATTGATAGGATTTTCTTCGCAAATGCATTGCACGATTCCTGGTATGATTCCACATCCACATATGCAGCCTAGAATTCCACAATAATTTTGATATGGATACACTTTATCAGGGTAATCTTCAGGATACCTGCAGCAGAAAATTTCGATCAATTTACCACAACAATCATTGCACCAACCTATTTTGAGAAATCTTTCCGGGAAAAGGAAGAAAATGATCAGGAGGAAAGCTGATTCACCAGCTAGAATAAATCCGAATATCTTCAAGACATAAAGCAAAGTGTCAAGTGTATCCTTATCCATGAAAAAAATAAATTAGTGAAAAAAATAAAAATCGACGTTGTAAAACAGATTTTTGATCTTATTGAAAAACTTCATCTCGATATGAATTTTCTATGATAAATCCATAATATCTTATATTTATTATTTATAAATCGTTTGAAATACTTTCAATTTCGTAACAAATAAATCGGAAAATCTTGAAGAAATTAGTTATATAAATATATTTTATGGAAATTACTTTTTGGTGTCAAAAAGTGAAAGGAAAATTAAACTTCTATTTTGCTAATTCTTTATGATTTCTACAAATACCATATTGTATGAGTACTAGATCGATAGTAAGTTTGGACCGACCTTTCAACTTCTAATCGGTTGAATCACCTCAAAAATTGAATGGGATTCAATTTACAATAGCTAAAAATTGAAAATTCTTTATGAATTCCAACTATATATTGTAAATTATTTTTTTCAATTACTGTCAAATAATTGGAAAATAAGGTGATTTCACATTTGGTAAGTTTGTTTAATATAGATCTTGTAGGTTAGCGCTGAAGCGAGCCATATATTGAAAGGTATAACTTCAGATCTTTGCACGTTATTTCATGAGTAATTTTTTTTCTTGTAACAGAGGAATTCTTTCTAGAGCTAATTTAAATGGATAAGAATAGTTACATAATAAAATGTACTTTAGATGCTATCTTGTTGTTGATTTTGATAAGTTTCTTCCAAGGTTTAAGTCCGCATTATTTGCATTGAAAAAAAAAAATCGGAGTTTTTCAAAATGAATAGCTAGGTATATGATATCTTGAAAAGATAATAAGGCATTCTTGCTCAAAAGGCTGTGAAAAAAAGATCTGAAGAGAGCATTAAACACATTTTCCTTTGTAAAGTCTGACTATCGGTTTTCTACCTCAATATTGAGTGAATCTCTATCGAAAATCTAAATAAGAGACTTTGCGAAGGAAAAGGAGATTGATTTGATATTAATTAATTTTGAAGAGATCTTGAATAAAAAAACAATCATCAAAATTATTTAAAAATTTGTTTTTAAGAATATTAATATAAATAATACAAACACGCAACAAAATCCGAAAATTAGAATGAATTCAACATAGAGAGCAAATCACTGTGGAGATTAAGCTCTGGAATGGCTTCTCCTAGTGATAAAACAGCTAAATAAGGAGGATTGTTAAATGGCTTTCCTTCTAATGCGACAATCTCTCTCTCTTGTTCGCGATAAACCAAAGTAACGTCGTAACAAGATGGGAGATTGAAATATCCGTCCTGATCAATTTCTCCATCGCATAACAATGTAGAAGTGTTATCAGGAGAGATGGGAAGCTTGGACCATAAACCTCTTTCGATATCGTAAACTCTGATGGCCGAAAACTGCTGGCCAGCCTTGGCAACACCACCAATCTGGACAATATACTTGCCAACAGTAACCATTGATGACTTGGTCATAGTGTAAGAAGGGAAATGTCCGAAAGAAGCCAAACTAAAGATCTCTTTGGTCTGAGGATTTATCTTTATCATTGCATTGGTCTTGGATCCTCCATATAAGTATACTTCATTGTTATAAACAGTTGAAGCGTGGGAGAATTTGGTTAATTTCGTCTCGATACTGGTCCATGCCATGGTTCTAAGGTCTAATATGCAGCATTGCTCAATGGATCCATTATTGTAACCACCGAAAATTACAATTTTTCCATTGACATAATTCATCGAATGACCACTGCAGTTCTTTGGACCTTGGCCTGTAGTCTGTGGGTGTACGATAGCACCTGTAAGAAGATTGATGCAGTGGAGATCGCCCAAGTACTGCTTATTGTAGAAACCACCGAAAACCCAAAGGAAATTTCCAACTAAAACGGCTCTGGCGCCAGCTCTTGGTGTAACTTTGTTATTCTCTATTTGGATTTCTTTCCAACGTCGTGTCTTCATGTCCAAACGCCATAAATCGATGATATGCTGTTTGGATTCTGTGCAGCCGTATCCTATGTATGCACAGTCGTTTTCAGGATCGTATGCTGATATATATCCTGTTCTGTTAATGGGACTTACAGAATCTAATGGTCTTACGGACCATATCGCGTTAAATCCAAAATCTGATTCAGTTTTCTTTTGGATATCATAGCATTCTGGGATGTCATCTGCGAAGAATGGTTGGTATTGGTCGTATTGAAGATTCATTGGTGATTGGTTGATACTAGGGCCTGAACCCATTGATTTCAGTTCTATGTAAAGTTGGGAACGATAGATTAAACTGTATTGAAAATTTGTGAATACTTTGGTCATTAATTGAGAGTAAATTTGACCGATCAATTCGTAACTTTGGCTAATTTTTCAAAAATACATTGTAAATAGATAATACATCATATCATGTAATAAAATTTTTGATGAACACTTTCAAATTTTTGAATTAATAATCAAGCAAAATGAATTTCACATAATTGTGGAAACTAAGGGTTTCGTTTTGCGAAAAAAACGTACAATACGCAATTTCGCTAAAAAAACATTTAGCTAGCAATTTCGACCTTTGACTCCACTCAAGACGTCACTTTTTTAATTTTGCGGTATCATATTTTTGGAAAATCTTTATGAATATTATATAAAAAGTCTCTTTAATATCTATATTTCATATTTTTATCGATTTTTAAAGTTTTTGCGAAAAGTATTCAATTATTTTTGCTATTTGGTCGGTAAATGTCAGATTTGCGACATTTTCTGATATGATATTCAGATTCTACGTTGATAATAATGCTTATAGAACCCTCTTGCTATTGTGTCAAAATTGCGAAACCGATAGCAAAAATATCTCGCAATATCAAAATTGAGATATTGAGTGAATTATGCATTATAGAGATTAAAAATCTGATTTGTGAAAACATCTCATCAGTTTCTAGCTAATTCAAAAATCTTTACTATCTTATTCGATTAAAATGAAAAGGGAATAGTTTCATTATGCTTTAAATGACAGCCTTATAATATAATCATAGTTTTCGCTCAATATGCAGCATTTTTTTTTCGAAATCTATGGTCAATATCCTAAATACTGATTGCTTTGCATTCATATCTCTTACATTTTCTATACCCACATCACTATTCATTGCTATTCCTATCTTTTCATTTTTGTTTGTTTCTCATAATTTCTCAAAAAACATGATAACTTGATATTTGTAAATATCATACTTTATAACGTAAATAAGAACTTGACCTATTAAGAAAAGCAGTAATGAAAAGAAAATCTGAAATTCATAAAAATTACAAGTTTCTGATGACAATTAGCTTAATTAAACCAGGTACAAGATTATATAATTGTATTTTCTATCCAATTATCCATATAATATCTTATCCAGAAAAAATAATTTGATCAATACCAAATGATTTTTTAACTAGTAAATAAAGTATTTTCTTTACACACACATTGTATATCATAGTTTTTTTTTGGTTTCGCAAAACATCCAAAAACAAATATGCTATAAAAGTGACAATTTTAGCAAAACGAAACCCTTAATGGAAACCGAAAAAGGAAACCATTTTTATCAACATTCAAAAGGATAAATGTTCACCATGAATCACATTTCCTATCGTCATAATTGGACAAATCAAAATATTTATGATATAGAATGCTCTATAATCAAGAAATATGAATATGATAAATTTAGGAAAATAAATGAGTTCATTTTATTTTTCAAACCACAAATTTGAATAGTTTGATTTTAGGCATAAACAATAGTAATCTGTGTAAAGAGCATGATTCTTGATACTATTTTATACGTTGATGATTTATTAAATTTTAATATTTGATAGTTTTATCGGAAATCAAGAAACCGATTACATAGGCCCTATCGGTAAACTCTATCATATAGCAATTGGTGCCTGAGGAATTTGATTCAAAAAATTATTTTTATAATTTTTGCCGTAAATTCTGTTAATCGCTTACAATTTTTGAGAAGAAACGGAAATATAATTAAAAACGTTTTAATCAAAATCATGGAGAAAACGAAATGAATTAAGTCGTTCAATAATATTATTGCTTTATAATCATTTTTATGACATAGTTCGACTCTTGTATCGCACCTTTGAAATATTCCTTACCGTTTGAGACCTAAATTGAGGTCGAATAAAAGTATAGCATCTACGCATTTGAATCGTCAATATGTTACATTTGGAAACCGAATAAACTCAATAAATTCACAATTGATTGACGAATAAGATTTGAAAGAACACTAATTCATCGATAATTAATTTGTCTTTTCCACAAAATATTTCAAATGAATCAATATCTTTTGAAAGGTTTACTCAAGAGATATCAACAAGATTTTAAATAAATCTTCGATGAAAAATAGTGCAATAGAGCTTGATACAAGCCAGAGATAATCGCATTTATATAATAATCGAAAGCAATCAAAAAGAAAAATATAAAATTTAAAAAATATCATCAATTCAAATCAAAACTATCATATATCATTTTATTTAATCGTTTTATTACAATACGAAGTTCATTCGCGATTTAATAATAATGATTTACGAATGAAATTAAATATTCGATATGAAAACATGAATTTAATTCATAAAATGCTAAGGAGACATATTTATTCGTATGGATAGTTATATTGGATATGTTATTATATGCGTTTGACACTTATATTTATAATTTATTTTTTGATGAATAAATAATCAAATTTGAAGATACTACTTGTAAATATTTGTATTGTATATCGAATATGAAATCGATTTTTGATTAATTATGGTCTATTTTATTGATATTTTGCAATTTTTGACTTTTTTGTATAGTAAATCACGTTAACGCTTGAAAATTCGATTTTAATTAGTATGTGTAAGCGATAAAAACATCTTACTTGATATGTTTTCATGAATAAAAATGGAAAATCCAAAATCAAAAATAAATTTGAAGGATTTTTGGAAATAATCCGATTAAATCTTGTTGGATATGAAGTAATTTGTATGTTTGTTGAAGGATTTTCATAAAAAAATCGAGTTAATAAGAAAATAGTTAAATAATCAAATAAAACCGGTCCATATCACACCCATGAGAATGCAAAATATTACTGCGTATAATATTGATTGCATAAATTCGTTTTCTGTTGTATTAGTTTCGATAACCTTTTCTTCTTCAGTTGCTTCAAGCATTGATGAGTTATTACTTCTCGAATCTTCAGGTAAATCAATTTCTTGACGCTCAATTTCAATAGAATCTGAGTTATCCGGTGAATCATCAGCCATGACAATCATATATTGTCTTCCAATCATATCTACCTTATTAATAACGTTTTTTGACTTACTTATACCTCTGTAATTGATTATTTTTTGCTTTAATTCGTATAATCTTGGATATATTTTTGAAAGATTTTGTCTTTGGTTCATTACTGACTTTATATCGTTGTTAAGCTTTGATTCATTAATGGAGTTTATTATATTTTGTATTGTTTCTGCAATTTGATTGAATTCAGCTTCTTCTTCCATCAAAATCGAAAAAAATTTATGAAAAAATATTGGCATAGAAATTTAAATTACAAATAATTAGTATAATATTAAAATTTATATGAAATAATGCAGAATGGCCGATTTATATCTTGTGAAAAATGACAATTTCCTTTCAAAATTTGAAATTAATTGAAAAAATCGCCCAAAAATGATTTTTTATTAATTGTTTTGAGAATTTCACCGTTTTCCATGATATTTTATTCATAAAATTTTCCAAACTCTTATTTTTCATACCATTTTAATGCATTCTATCATTGCAATACATCCATTATTGCCACATTTCATTTAAGAATCTGAGATATTGAATTTAATTTGACCAAAAATATGATATAAATATGATAAAAATTTATGTTTACTGAAGCTGGTATTTAACCAAATCAGAGTACACACCATTAAGAGAAAGAAGTTGTTCGTGATTACCTTTCTCAACGACACGGCCTTCTTTCATGACATAAATGATGTCTGCAGACTTGACAGTTGACAACCTGTGGGCAACAACTATGACAGTCTTCTGTCCGTGGAAGTTTTCAATTGATTTTTGGACAAGACTTTCTGATTCTGTGTCAAGAGATGCTGTTGCTTCATCAAGAATAATGATGGGTGTGTTTGCAACAATTGCTCGTGAAATGCAAATTCTTTGCTTCTGGCCACCTGACAATGAGTTCTGTGAGACTTCGGAATTGTATGATTGAGATATGTTGTTTATGAAGTCATGGGCATTTCCACTGTTGGCTGCAGAAACAACTTCATCATTGGAAGCACTTGGATGTGAATACTTGATGTTGTCTTCAATGGACATTGAGAAGATCACAGGAGTTTGAGGAACTGAAGCAATATTAGAACAAATGCTTTTGTCACTGAAATCCTTGACATTGCGACCATCAATTGTGATTTCTCCTTCATAGCCATCATAAAATCTCTGCAAAAGATGAAGAACTGTTGATTTTCCACTTCCACTTTCTCCAACAATTGCAACTGTTTGACCAGGTTCAACAGTCATATTGAAGTTATTGAGGGCATGTTGAACTTTTCCAGTGACATCTTTGATTTCTGGTTTTGACGGAACTTCATTATCTTTGACTTCAGGATTGATTATAGAAAGCACTTTTCGTGATGAAATGTTTGCTCTTCTGAAGTCGTCGGAAGATGAAAACATTCCTGCAAATCCCATTGCAGCAATGAGAACCGAGATAATGAGAGTGATGCAATCACCTGGTTGTAAGCCATACTTCGGTTTCTTGATAATGAAGTAACACATGATGTAAAAGAGCATAATGATGAGACCGTTTTCAATGAATGTCAGAATTCCGTACTCGAAACCTTGAATTGAGGCAGATTTCGTATAGACACTATCGACACCATCAAGGCTCTCTGCATACTTCTCGTACTCATCGAGTTCATTGTCAAAGGACTTCACTGTTCTGAACTGTGTAATGACTTCTTCTGCTTTGTCCATAGCGTAAGTTGATTTGTCATTGTACATGTGCCACATATGGCCAACGCACTTCTCTGTGAGCATGAAAATGGTAATAATGAGTGGAAGAGTCGCAACACAAATGAGAGAAACAAGCCAAGAAGTTGTAAATGCTATGATGACACCTGCGAGAGCGAAAGCACAGTTCTTTGAGGCTTCTATCGCTTTATCGCAGTATATCTCTTTAATTAACGTAACATCTTCGGAGAGTCTGGCAATAAGGGTTCCTGTCTGAGCATTGTCGAAATACTCTATCGGTTTTACAATGAGGTTACCGTAGATTTCAGACCTGAGATCATGAGCAAATTGTGGTGTGCAGAATGACTTTAGGCATTGAGATATGAGGTTAGTAACAAGCATAACTGCATCTGCAATTGCCATCCTAATGATGTTTTTTATAATACTTTTCATAAAATCTCCTTCTTCCTGGGATTCACCTAAAGATAGATCTGTTGTGACACCACCAATAAGCTTCACCATGATTAAAGGGCATATTCCCGAAATACAGGCAAAAATAAATGTAAGAATGAGTGTGATCTTTCTTTTGAAGAACTTTAGCATCGAAAATATCTCGAGACCTGTTGTTACTACGACCTCTTGGTCTTGAGAACCTTGAGTTTTGAACAAAACTGCTGACTCAGGCATTGTGGTGTAACTTTTTGATAAATGAGAACAGTTTCTATGGGATTCAATTTTGAAAACACTATAATTTGAGAAGAAGATAAAATCATAATTGAGCTTATCGTAATCTATTGATGCTAATAAGTAGTTTCATTCTGATTTTCGTTTTGTGAGTATACAAAAAATTGTGAGTGATATTGAAAAATATATCTTTTCTATTTATATCCATCATGAGTTATATATTATGATTATATATTTTATAAATTCAATAGTTTACAAAAAAGTTAATTCTACGTTTATCTGAATTTGGTCGCATAGAAATGTAATAGAACCGCAGATTTTTATGATACGTTATAATTCAATAGTATTAGTTAAAATAACACTTTAAATATGCGCAAAATTGTTTTTTTGTGACGATAGCCGACAAAATTAGATAAAAATTGAGCATTTTTGGATATTTATTGATCAAATAAGATTGTCATGTTAATGAAAACAATGCCCTATCTTTAAATAATGAATATCTCATAAATTTGCTTATTTTGCTAAAATAATTGGCATTATTATACAAAAGAACAGTTATTACGATTGCAATGTTAATATAAAGTAGAATACCAATTTGATTATATCTTCCCTAAGGGCAATCTCAAGAGTTTAGATGAATGAATATATGAACATATCTGTATCCTTGATATTTTTAAAAGAATATCATAGAAAGTAAATATCATTGAATAAAATAAGTAAACATCATTAGTAGGATCTTTTTTTTTCCCCTAGATCATTCATTTTCATTTATTAATAATAATAATTTCGAAATACAACAAGAATCTTAATGTAATTGCATTACGAATGGCAAAACGTTTGGTTAGAGCATTGACAAAATTGAAATTCTAAATTATTACTTTTATTTCAAAGCTAATGAGAGAATCTCAGTGTCATTAAATTATAGGTAAGTAATTTTCCATATATGTATACTTAATTCCAAAGTTTAATATCACGTTATTAACTAATTAGTAAATTCTGTTATATTTTACTTTGTTCTATAATTTTGTTATCATTTTGTGAATCATAAGTGACAGTAAGAGTACTTAGGGACAAGGATTTTACGCAATCATTCATTAAATGAGTAATATCATGATGAAAGTTATCTTATTAGATTAAATCCTTAGATCCGGCCATTATGGGAAACGAAAATGATATATCAACTATCGGATTAATATGAAATAATATTTATTATCACTAAAACCATTTCCTACAATCAAAACTTTAACAGTATAGATTTCCAAAATTGCTGCAGCTATCAAAAACAAATTTTGTTTCGATGTCAAAATTTCAAATTGCCGATGTCATGTCAAATAAATCCAGCTGTCAGAAACATCATGTTTAGTACACCATGACAATTTAAGATTTTTAGTGTTTTAGTATAATGAAAATTTCAATATTGAATTCAATTATTGAAAATTATAATTAATCAAAAATCCAAATCTAATTGGTTATGATCCAATATGAAGTAACAAATGTCTTCTTCCAAGGAATCAGCTTTCTTTACAATATATTCAATATATATGTCCAAATTTGTGTTTCTGTTTCAACAAAAGATAACATTTGAAATATGATACCAACAGAATACACTTATCTTAACTTCTAAGATTTTTCTTAAATTAGATTATCATCAGATTTTGTTTTTTTCAATTAGAAATCTGGAATATAGCATTCATATATGATATTTCCAGTTTAATATTTTCATTATTGGTTGTCTCCTTTAAGTAAGGAAATTCTTATTTTCATATATTTTTGAATGATAATTTCTTATTATCTCTATAATCAATATTATGTGGTAACTCAAACTTCTCAGAACCAGTGTGAATTATAATTGAAAATAAAATTAAAATATCAAAATTCAAAGCTATATCAATCAGCCAAAATACATCCTTTGTTGTAAACAGAAATTCATCAAAAGTGACACCTCAGAAAAGCTAAAATATTGAATTTTTGGAACTTTTGATAGAGCACGTTTTAAAATATTAATTAAAGTAAATGTATATTTTGTAAAGATTCTTTTTAATAAAAAAATAAAATTTTGAAGAAGAACACAAAATCTTCTGAAAAATAATATCACATAAACTCATATTATTTTCTAATATATAACTATTTTATATAAAAATCAAATTCAATGATCTTAAAAGCGAAGGATAAACCTCAAAATTTACGAATATAATGAGTGGGAATATAATGCTTATCTATCATAAAACCATATGAAATATCAATTTTTGCTTTACGCCTAATTTTTGACGACAATTAGCAAAAAATGTTAAATGTTAACACTCAGTCCATTTGAATATGAAAAATAAAATTGACTTTGATTAAATGTTTTTATTTATCATGCAATTCTTCTTGCGACCAAAGATTTGAATAAAATTTCAAAAAATAAGATAGCTTAAAAAATAATGTACGGTAGTGTTTACTAATAGATGAATAGTATATAAATTCTATTAAAATGGATTTGATCCAAAAAAATATAAAATCAAAAATAATTGTTATAATTTAAATGAAGAAGTAATTTAAAACGATTTTATTTATGATCAAATTTTATATATTTTTTTGGATCAAATCCATTTTAATAGAATTTATATACTATTCATCTATTAGTAAACACTACCGTACATTATTTTTTAAGCTATCTTATTTTTTGAAATTTTATTCAAATCTTTGGTCGCAAGAAGAATTGCATGATAAATAAAAACATTTAATCAAAGTCAATTTTATTTTTCATATTCAAATGGACTGAGTGTTAACATTTAACATTTTTTGCTAATTGTCGTCAAAAATTAGGCGTAAAGCAAAAATTGATATTTCATATGGTTTTATGATAGATAAGCATTATATTCCCACTCATTATATTCGTAAATTTTGAGGTTTATCCTTCGCTTTTAAGATCATTGAATTTGATTTTTATATAAAATAGTTATATATTAGAAAATAATATGAGTTTATGTGATATTATTTTTCAGAAGATTTCATTCTATATGCCTATGAAAAGTACTCTCAAAACTAACTTTTTCCTAATTATAATTAAATCTAGAATATTGTATTATGCTTAGTATTATTTCATTTTTCTCATTCAATTTAGAATTTACAAATGTCAAAAAATTGAGAGCTGTCACTTTTGATGAATTTCTGTTTATTACACCTTAAAAAAAGTCTCATTTTTGTTAGTTTGATTTTTTAGTTAAACACAAAGAACGTTGAACGTGGATAAAATGATTTCGCGACGAATAGTAATTGTCTTACTACAGACAATAAAGGTCTCTGATATAATCGCTATTTGGCGATTTATTTTATTAGAAACCATTCCATCATCATCCATGCAAATTATAGAGAATTCATAAATTCCATCCGAAAATCCAATTAAAGTGCGGCTAAACTGAAATGGATTCCATATTTGTTCAGTAATAGTCAAACAACTATGCTTTTGCTGATATCGATCATTAAGCAATGTGTACATACAAACGTATTTTCGTTCGATATCTCCAACCGATGAATTTATTTGGACCATTTCACCGGATTTAAAATAGAACGAAAAATTATCATCTAATCTAAGATTGGGAGAACTTCTATCAGTTATTTCATATTGTAAAAATACAGATTTTGATGAAAAATTAAATTCATCAACAGCCTGAATCATAACAAAATGAACTTCATCAGATGCAGGCCATGGCGGAGTAAATGAACAGTTAACTGTCTTTGGAGTATTATTTAATTCAAATGATTCATTAAATAAAGGATATCCTTTCTCAGTAATTAATAATCTTGCTTTTGTATCATCAAAAATTTCAACTTCAAGCTTTGCTTCTTCGCCTACTTTGTATTTAGGCTTAATTTCATTCAAAACCTTGATTTGCGGGATTGAATTAACAAGAACAGTAAATGATTTGGAGTTTTTAATTCCAGTACGAGATGTAACATAAAAAGTGAATGTATAATATCCACTTGTTTGAGGAAGCTGGATTGAGTGTGAAAAATGGTATTCTTCGCCGGTGTCATCATGCAAATCAATTACTTTTTCTGGTGAATCTTGTAACTTCAGTGATATTTTGGCAGTTTCTCCAACACCAAGGGAGTTGATATGAAGGGAGATTGTAAGATTACTTCCTGGATTGTAGAAATCAAGGAGTTCGGAGTCTTGATAGAGGAAATATCCAAAAGGTGTGATTCTGACGTATCCATGACCTCGGTTTCCGGTGATTTTTTCTGTGACTGAAAAAGGTGAAGGCATTGTTTCGTTACCTGGAATTGTTTTTCCATTTTTGATAAATGAAGTATCGAAGAAAGAACTTCCACCACCTCCAGCAGAACCAGCAGCATATCCACCAGCACCGCCGTAATAACCAGAACCACCTCCTGTAGACCATCTATCATCTTGTCCACAATTTCCTCCATAAAATTTGCCACCATTTCTGACAGAATTTTCAGAGTTTGTTCCAGGACTTGTTTGAGTGGCACCTGTACCACACGTATTTCCACAGTGTGATCCAGATCCTCCTGAAACTCCTCCTCCATATCCACCATATGTATAATGATTATATTCAAATGTTCCAGCACCAGATCCAGCACCAGCACCGGCAAAAAGAATTCCACTTTCATTTTTAGCTTCGCTAATCGAAATGAAACTCATCCCTCCTCCTGATGATGGATAGAATTTAGTACCTGTATATCCATACCCTCGCCCTCCACCACCAAATGTGTTTCGTGTCTCATATCCTGGCCAACCATAGTTTGGATGATATGTTCCTTTTTCAGTAGTTCCCATTTCACCACAGAAAATAAAAAGAGTTGTTTGCTGAGTAAGATCGAGCTCACCACTGACATAACCGCCTTTGCCGCCTTCATATAATGTTCCATCATATGTGACATTGCCTCCTTGTGCACCCCATGCTTCAAGTTTGTATCTCCCTGGAAGAAGATCTCTTCTAAATGGTTGACAATCAAGGTAATTTGTGCAATTGTACACATATAATTCTGTATTTTGGCCGCTCATTTACACCCATCTCCATCACAGTGATACTTTCAATCCCAAATTAAAACCGCTCCTCGTTTTTAACCTTAAAATGATTACATCATTACCTCAATTTTTTACCATTTTAAAAATATTCCTCTACTTGCATTGAAGAAAAGGGACTCATCAAGTGGTGATTCATTCGATTTTATATCTTTAAAATACAATCTCTATATCAAATTTCGAAATTAATTGCAAATTAAAACATAATGCATCTACAATGTAACAATCAACATCTAATTTTATTAAATTAAGATCGATATATTCTGCATTGAAAGATTTCTTTGCTCAATAAACAAAATTTCAAGAAATTTGGAAAGAGAATTTTTGTTTCACATCATCATCAATAAGATCAAAAGGCAAAAATCTTCAAATCAATTCACATTTTCTTCTTTTTAAGATATTTTTAAAGAAAATTTCACAATATTCAAAAGAATTTAATAAATACTGAATACAAAGAAGAAGAATTAAAATATTGACGCCAGAGATATTTTAATTACACGCAATCAGATTAATGAATATCATATTTCATTTTTTAATTTCGATATAACTATAAATTTTTATTCCTAGGATAAATATCCACTGATAAAACACCATTAATGCCACAATTTTCTCTAATACAGCAATAAAATAAAGAGAATGTCTGAAATTGGAAAGCTAAAGATAAAATTTGTCGAGTGACTTTCTCTCATTTAGTGAAAAAAATAATGCAATAAATTATTAGCTCTTTAATTATTCAAAATTTTAGAAATCAAAAAGATAAAATATATTTTCCAGGACTTTTCGGAATTTTGAGCCTAAAACAGTCCGAAGAAATATCAAAATCTGCAATAGCTTTCAACGATTAACTCGATGTTAACAGAACCTTAAAATATATCAACGATTTCAGAAAGTTTTTTTTTTGATTTCACAAAGATGAATTTTTTTATAAAATACTTTTTGCTTTTTTTAGTAAGCGTATATGATTTTCTGAACGTGGTCGTTATAGGAGACATAGCCCTCATAACCCGGATCATATTCGATACCGCCATTCTTGTTTCCAACCACGAAATGGCTTTCAACTCTTGGATTCCTGCATTGGAGAATTTCTTTCTCGTTTCCATTAACTGGAGCGTATCTTCCACCAATGCGGCATGATTTGGCACCTGTTAGTGGAATAATTGCATACCAGCTATTGATGTAGCATCCAGCAGACATCCAGCCTCTGCTGACGGCCAAGTTATAGTTGGCATTGCATCCATCGATGTAGTTGACTCCGCCAAGCCAGCAGAGTGACATGAATGCACATCCCCAGTTTCTGATGTTTTGGTTGAACCTGGCGTCGTACTGTTTGATGACTGGGCCTGATGGAGTTGGTCCAGAGCCACCAGGTACGAGGGAAACGAAATCGGCGCAGACCCATCCTTGGTCTACTTTGTACCAATTTGAGGAAACATCATAAATTGTAATAATTGCGCCCTTTCCGAGTCCGCCAACTCTTCCGTAGTTTGTTCCTGGGCCAGCACGAATGTTGAGGCCAATATCAGCGTCAACTTTGCCTCTAACATGGAGTAAATCTGCATGAACAAAACCTGTTTGTCCGTTTCTGTCGATTTGCCACCAATCGTTTTGATGTCCTGTGACTGTTAATTGGGTTCCATCACCAGCAACTCCAAGAATTGAAGCACTTGTGCTTGGAGCAGATCTAATATTTGCGCCGAGGCCTCCGGCAAAAACTACGCCAGTTCCCGCACCATTTGTTTGAGGAACCATCATGCGGCGATGCCTATGAGCCCTCTTAGCCGAGGCAACGGCAAACAGGATGCCTAACATTTTTTTGAATCTCGAATTGAATAAAACCTCCACTTTTGAGACTGATGTATCAGATCGTCTAATTTTTTCATAGTTTTAAAATAGACAATCATAATAGTGTTAAATTATTTGATAACATTCTCAATTTTATTAAACAAATCTGTTCAAAAATTTTCATTTGAATACCTCGATTATTTTTCATTTAAACCGATTATGTCATTTGACGTCAGATAATCCTGATTTAAGTAAGCATATTATATCTCCATCAGATTAGCATAATATTCAAGCTTTTGTTTTTTAAGGTTATTTAGTTGGCAAGAAAATGGGTTAGGAATAAGAATGGAACAAGTTGAGCAACCAAGCTACTATCCTCATTATTTACTTTTTATTGCTTATCACGTAATGATATGGAAAACACAAAATATTTACATTTAATTTAAAATTCATAATAATAAATTAATTAACTTTCCACAGTTTTTAAATATATATACAAGCCAAAGAAACAAAATGATTTCAATCGTAATTAATATTTTTTCGAATAATTTATTGAAAAAAATATTCCACTTTTCTTGTTTGATACCACGATTCAATTTAAGAGATACAGCTCATATACGCATGATCATTAAAAATTTCTAACTACTTGATCATAATAATGATTTTTTTTTATTTGTTAATTATATGAACCAATAATGTATAATTCTCTCTTTTTCTGTGCGTATAACCAAGTTATGCATATGCTTTTAAACAAAAGCATTTCCTTAAATTTTCGAATTCAAAGATCCAAAACTTAAGTACAGTATACATTGTGCGTCGCCTGTAGCCTACAGCTACAGTCACCGACACAATGAAAAAAGTGACAGAAAACTGACACCATACGGGCGCGCATATGTACGCATATATGTGTAAAAATAAACGTTCATATGTAAACTAACCTTTATTCACTAGCAGGGGCTGATAAATCATAATCGTCGAGAAGTACGATAGGTGGTCCCACCTGTTTAATCTGTATGGAGAGGCAAACGTGACGTAAGAAGCATAACACTGGTTTCTCAGTATATTTAATAGACTCTGCTGTTGGCTTAACTGTAAGCTTATATGTAATAGGTGAATTAGATAACTGACCCTGTTGGAATGTATAATCAGTTTCGCAAGGGAATCCACATAGGTAATGACCTAAGTCATTTGACTCGATTCCAAATTGAGGGACTGATGTGGTTGTGATAGACCTCATGACATCATAGTTGAAGCCAACAGTATCGTTATTATTGTTAGTGGCATTTGCCTGCATCTCATAGAAGATTGGATCATTAGATGCTTGAGCCTCAGCGGGTATGTTACCATATGCTCCACAGTTCAATTGAATTTGTTCAAACAATGGATTTTCATAGGTAGTGTTATAATTAGGTGTTTTCTTAAATAGTGTATAAATGGTGTTCACATATAATGGAGTAAATGCTGCCGTGAATGTACAAGGAGTTCCTTCACCTTTAGCCATTGAACCATCCATAGTAATGCAGTCAATTCTTTTGATTGGGAAGTTTAGAGTCTTTGCCGAATATCTTGTCACCAAATCACTATAGATGTTAGGGTCCAAAGAGAATGAGTTACAGTATGTAATCATTTCAAAGAAGTTTGCATTCTTCTTAGTGAACTTAATAAACTTGGTACCAAATGATATCGTACTCTTATCGGCATTCCAAGTTACAGTATCAATAACTTTGATACCTTCATAGATAGGAGTGAAGTGATTAGTGATTGGAATATAGCTTGTAACATTGGCTTGCATGTTCGGTAATGGTAGAATATCCTGATAACTTAATGGTGTCCAAACCATACCAGCAATACTGAACTTAACCTTAAGTTGTAAGTTACCAGCAAACGCTGGAAGGAATCTAATGTTATTAAGTATTAGGAATCTTCTTAGGTCAATCTTGATTGGTATGTGGAACTTTAATGTAGTTGCACCACTAATTGGTTTATTGAACTCAATAATCTGTCCAGAACGAACTGTATCACATCTATTGAAAACATCTTTATGTCTAGCCTTACTAAATACATCAACTTTCTTAATAGCTTCTGTTGTAGATGCAGTAGAAGTAATGTAACCTTCTTCTCTAGCATTATCTTGTGTATAAACACTTTTACCATTAGCGATTAATTGATATGATTCAACAGCATAGAATGAATCAATGTATCCCAACCAAATTGCTGGAAGATGTGCACATGATTTGCCACCAGCATATTTAGTATCAATTGCTTTAATTGCTGTAACATTTGATCCTGTAGGAGCTGTCTCAACAGCTCTTTCTTTATATACTTCACCATCATATTTAGGAACTTTTTCATCAGCTGGTTCAGTTTCTGTTGTAATTATGCACTCACCATCGACATAACCACTAATGAACGTATTATATAAGTCAATCATGTTCTCACCAGGTGGTGATATGTTAAATGTAATATAACCGTTATCAATAGTATTTGTCGGCATAGCTGGCACTTTTGTTGGGACATATCTATGGTTAGTATCTCCAATAGGAACTGCCCCATCAACTTGATCGAAATAATATCTTACTTGTCTGATGGAATCAGCAATACTGTATGTATTGAGGTTATCGTTCAACATCTTTCTCAGCTATAAAAAATTTACAATCTTCTTATTCTTGGGATTATTCGTCTTATTTGTGGCTGAGGTTTAGGAGGTTCTGGTTCAGGCTCTGGTTCATCATCGAAGTGTATTCTTTTCTCTTCCATTGATTGAACATATTCTTGATTCTCTTTAGTTTCCTTCTCACGTTCAATTGGGTCCATGTTTGGTTCATTAACTACACTGTTACGTTCTAATATCTTTGTCATCATCTCTAACAACATTTTATTAGTATATGCTTGTTCTTCTTCTTTCTTCTCATCAACTTTAGGAGCTTCTTGAACAACAGGAGCTGGGGCAGGAGCTGGTGAATTCAATGGTGCCTTTCTCTTTCTAACTTGAACTGAACCATTCTTCATATGACAAACATAATATAATGGATGTTGTATTCCTTTAGCTTCATTCAATATGATTGATTGCTTTTCACTTGGTGAAAGTTTTGACGTCATTTCTATCCTAATAAAATTTTTTACTCCTAACAAAATGACTGAGAATACTTTCGACAGAGAAGCACTCAAGAATGAACTTCGTGAAGAAATACTTAATGAACTCAAACCAAAAGAACAAACACAAGAAGAGAAACCAGCTAAACCAAAGCGTAAACTCACAGAGAAACAATTAGCTGCATTAGCAGCTGGACGCGCAAAGAATCCACGAATGATTGCAAAGAAATTGAGAGAAGAGGAAGAAGCTAAGAAAAATAATAAGTAAGTGTTTAGAACTTTAACTTACGTTCAAAAGATGACTTCGTTGAAATAGTGAAGTCCTTATTTTTGTTGAAGCATGGTTTCGAACCAATGCACAAGTCAAAGGTTATCTCATCACCTTCATAAAGAGATTTGTACAATTCCACGATGCTATATTTTTCCCCAACTTTCTCAGGGAAGAACAAACCTTTCTTCTCGTCATAATGTACTTGTATCGCATCTGGGAACATTTGGTTTGCAGTAAGTGCAATTACGTCCTGTGTGATTCCCTTCATTCGACAGTGGAAAGCAATTTCCTTGAGGTCATTGGTTAATTCGTCGAGGTAAGTCTTCTTTCCAACGAATATAGATCTTTGTGCCTTAGACATATGTCCTGCAGTAATCTCTGCAAAGTCTGAATGAAATTGACCCAGTGCTTTTCCAATGAGTTCTCTGTTATACCTTCTCTTGTATTCTTCTGCTAACTTATCTAAGTCCTTCTCATACAAGTGTAAACTATCTGTATCCTGATAGAACAACTTCAAGCCCAAATCTTCTGCTGTGAAGAATACTTCATTCATGATTCGTTTGGACATAGAAAGGATTGAAACACCTAATGGACAATAGTTAAAGTGACGAACGATAGGTTTAAATGACTTTACACATGAAAGTTCGGAATCGGGGATGAACTCTATTGTCTGTATGTCATTATAGTTCTTAATGATATAGTCAGTGAGCTTATTGTCCTTGATGAAACGAATCTTTTTGTCAATGGGCTTTAATATCGTCTTACCATAGATACTGTTCAAAAGAAGTTTGATGATCTCTTGTATCGGATTACCTTCCTTCTTATACTTAGCACGTAATTCGAAGAGCTTCTTAACTTCATTCCTTATTGTCATGTCCCTTTTTTCCATCATAATAGTATCCATCAATGACTTTGCATGAGATCTCTTGGAACTTGATCAGATCTTGAAGCGTAATGTGGTCTACGAACATCTTGCAGCATGTATTGGAACTTCTGGCAACATGTAAGTCAGGGTTGATGTCAGGATTGACGACAATCAATGGGAATGCTGAGTTCTTACCGATCGACAAGATCTCGATCTGACAGTAAAATCCTGAGATGAACTTTTCCTTTGTTGGTTCAGCTTGGTCATCATCAAAGAGATGCTCCAACAAGTATTCACTGCTCTTCATCTCTTCTGTCATAACTTTTGGAATTCCTTCTAAACAGTAAAGTCTAGCAATTGCTGATGGATACAATGATACAGCATCGAAGTCAGTGATGAGTTCTCCTTCATTGTATTGCTTCTTGTTCTCAGCTAGCATGCATCTTCCTCCTTGAATACACTTGGAAATATATTCACGAGGTTTTCCTGCAAGATCAAAGAGATTACCGTTCTTCCAATATACTCTCTTCTCAAAGAGTTTGTTTGAGATAGAACTTATTGAAACATAATCATAAGCATCTATTTCAAACTCAGTCATGAGGTCATTGCGGAACTTAAGAAAGCCATCTCGTAAAATGCGTACATCTTGACCGCAATAGAATGACGAATAAACTTCCATGTCAAAGTGTTCATCATCAATCTTGCAATCTTCAATCTTCTCAATGTTCTCATTAAAAGCTTCAATATCTTTGACATGATTCATGGCATCATCGATGTTACCAACTTTAGTTGTATTAA